GAGAAGGAAGAAAGGGCGAGGAAGAGGAAGAGGAAGAAATTAGTAATGACGCCATTATTGAGCTTCATTTTATGTTCTCTTACACCTGAAAGGGGCGAGAGAACAAGATGAGAAGCTGAGAGGGGTTATGGAAGCCATTGATGGAGGATTGGGATTTGTAGAAGAAGAAGAAAGAGGAACAGTATGCTAGAAATAGACAATGGCCTACAGATTTGTTTTGGTGCTCAATTTCTATTGCATTTTCACCACAATTTCTTCTCTCATCCCTCTTTTCACGAGGTAATTCCTATTTCCTTTTTACTATTTATGATCATCAAGCAAATTTAGAATTTTATGGTTGACTTGCTCTAACTTTAGAACATTGATTACACATCCATTCTTTTAAAACTAAATGCCTAAAATACAAAGTGTATACACCCATCAATGTTTCAAAAATTCAGAAATTTCAATACTATCCCCACAAATGTTTCAAAACATCTCGAAATATTGTAAATGGAAAAGTGACTTTGACACTTAAATAAGTGGGAATTTCTTCTATATTTTCTCTCTTTCCATACTAAAATAAAAGAATTTTCTCTCCACTCCCTACCCAAATTTGCAACCTCGTAAGTTTTCATGTTAATGTCACGTCATTTTAAATTTTGCCACGTCGATTTTTAGTTCAAAATATTAATGTAGGTTTGCTTTGCTCTTGATGAAAGGTTAAATAGTATTGGAACTTTTGAAAGAACTAGTAATCTAACACGTGCATTCACGTTGTATCTTAATTTTATCACATCATATATTAACATCAATTTTATCAGCTATGTTTTGTTTGGTCTTAAAAATGTTGTTATTTTGTGTCTAACAATAAAATTTACTTTCAAACAAGGTTTTAATTATGGAGATACATGTTACTTTTAACTTTTTATTTTAAATAAAATAACTTTAGATAATGGTATATTTAAATATGTAAAATTATTTTTTTTGCATTGCATTCCTAAAAAATATTATTTATTGTTTGTTGAAAGTATATCATAAAATAAAATGATAGGATAGTTATTTTTTCTTCATGTATATGAGAAAATCAAACATTAATCCTGTCGTATTTAAATAAAACAGACAACTTAATAATTTTCAAATATGTAAAAATATTTAAAATAAAAAATAATGATATTAAAATTAACTACGACATATTCCGAACTTAAAAATAGCAATATTGAAGAACAAAATCAAAACGATTATCCTATATTTTCATAAAATATATTTACTTCTTATTGATGTTTGAGATCAAATCGACAAATACTTGCAAGATATACACAATGATCAACAAATTACTAAACAACGCCGCTCTACAACATAAAAAAGAATATTGAAAATGTTAGTATTGTATCACTAAATCTAGAAACCACGATGAACTAAAGAGAAAAAATTATGTATACAAAAAATAGAACAAATTAGTATGAAAATGAGGTGGAAGAGAACCTACTTTTATAGTGGCACGAAGTAGAAATGTTACAAAAAAAAACCTTTGAGATTCTAACACTTTTCATATTCCACCATTCAAAAACCTAATTAAATGTAAAAAATTTAATTTTAAAATTAATTTATATAAATAAAGGCAAAATTTTGATATTCTTTAACCTTTTAGATGCATTTAAATTTTGTTCCCTACAAAAATTTTCACTATTTAAAATATAAAATAATGATATTAAAATTAACTACAAAATAGTTCGAACTTAAAAATAACAATATTGAAGAACAAAATCAAGACAATTATCTTATATTTTCATAGAATATATTTACTTCTTACCGATGTTTGAGATCAAACTTACAAATGCTTGTAAGATACACACAATTATCAACAATTGTTAAACAACGCTACTCTACAACTAAAGAGAAAAAATATGTACAAAAAAATAGATTAAATTAGTGTGAAAATGAAGAATAAGAGAGCCACTTTTATGGCAGTAACAAGCAAAAAAGTTACAAAAACCTTTGAGATTCTAACACTTTTCATATTCCACCATTCAACCTAATTAAATGTAAAAATGTAATTTAAAAATTAATTTATATAAATAAAGGCAAACTTTTGATATTCTTAACCTTTCATGTTTGGTTCATTTAATCCACCTTCTGGTGCATTTAAATTTTGTTCCCTAAAAAATATCAATATTTTAAATAAAAATTAATGATATTAAAATTAACTATAAAATAGTCTGAACTTAAAAATAGCAATATTGAAGAACAAAATCAAGGTAATTATCCTCTATTTTTATAAAATATATTTACTTCTAAGCCGTGTTTGAGATCAAACCGACAAATGCTTGCAAGATACACACAATGAGCAACAATTGCAAAACAATACCACTCTACAACATAAAAAGAATATTGAGAATGTTAGTATTCTATCACTAAATCTAGAAACCACAACAAACTATAGAGAAAAAAATATATTTATATAAAAAAAGAACAAATTAGTGTGGAAATGAGGAGCAAGAGAACCACTTTTATAGTGGTATGAAATAGAAAAATTACAAAAATCTATGAGATTCCTAACACTTTGTAAAAATTTTAATTTTAAAATTAATTTATATAAATAAATGCAAAACTTTTGATATTGTAATTCATTCATCTAATCTATTTGTGGTGCATTTAAATTTTGTTCCCTAAATTTTTTTTCAATATTCACAATTTGTTTGGGTTAAATCTTAATAAATTTTTAATATCTCAATTTAAAAATACGAATATTCTCATATTTTATTTCTTAATAATATATTTTTTTGTCAACTTTCATATATATAATTTTTATGTGCTAATTATTAATTTAATTTTTTTATTATTATTGTAAAATAATATTTCAAAGACAAATTATTACCTAATAGAATAATATTTAAATTTTTGCTCTCCTAAACAAAAGGTTCAATATTCATAATTTGGGTATGTTAAATCTTATAAAATTTTAAATTGATTTTTAATATCTCAATTTAAAATATAGATATTCTCATATTTTACTTCTTAATTATTTATTGTTGTCAATTTTGATCTATATAATTTTTATTTGTTAATTATTAATTTATTTTTTGTTATTGTAAAATAATATTTCAAAGATAAATTATTACACCATAGAATATTATTTAAATTTTCTCTTACAATTTAAACTAATAAATAATGAAAGACAAAACTAAATTTAGATTACAAAATAATATTTTAAATCTATCATATGAATTATAATAAATTGTTAACTAATTTAAAATATATAATAATGTTTCAAAACTTTAGATGGTTGGGGAAAAAGAATCAAATGTTAATGAGAGAGGTTCTAAACAAACAAGATAATGAGAGAAAGAAAATTATAATTAAATAAGGGAGAAATAAATGAGAAAAGATGGGAGAGTCTCAAGTAAAAAATAAGAGGGATGGATGAGCGATACATAAATTGAAGAGAAGGATAATTTGGATATTACAAAAGAAGTGAGGATCAATATTGTCCAGAAAATATTTCTTCCACATCCATACTTTTTAATATATTATAGATATAGATAGGAGTGTTGAATAATAAATTTCAGCACATCATAAATTTTCATGTCATTATTTGTTGGATCAATTATAAATGGACATATGTGTCTAAATCCATAATATATATAAAAGACACCATGAGGAGAAATTTTTTATGTCAAATTTACCCTCTCATTATAACTATTTCCATTCTTTCTTTGGGGGTAATTCGTTCATTTGAATATATTTTTTCTTTTTACCTCTATTTTTTTAAAAAGAATCATTTTAATAAACAATAATTAAGGTTAGGAATAGATGATTTAATTTTAAATATTTAAACACTAATCTATTAATTTATTGTGAAAATTTATTGCTCAAACTATTGAACTTCCTCATTCTTTGTTGTCCTCTCCTGATTCTTTCATATTCTTCTACTTTCATATATAAAGATTTCTCCAATCTTTCCTACCGGCAACAAAAAATCAAGAAGTGAACGGATTGAAAGATTGCCGGTTGGTGTGAAGGTAGAGGATTTTATTCTCCTGCTTTTACAACCGACAATGACAACGTGCGTATGTGTGATGAATAGCCCAATTCATATTCAGGAGAGAGGAGTTCAAAGGAAGACCAAAACCTTGGAATTAATAGGAAGTTGATGGCACTATTGGTTTTCTTCGAAATTATCATTCTTCATCTTGGGAGAGATTGGAGAGAGTATTCAGTTCATGCACGAGATGGAATCAAGGGAATTTTTTATGAGTCTTTTCCTCTCACCATAATAAAAAAAAAATAATCAAAGACAAAAAAATTTGTCAATTAAATAAAGTCACTTGTCTTACGACGCCATAATATGGTTTATTCAACTTATGCAACGTGATAATAGGATCTATAATGTCAACATGAACATAACTAAGTGGTATTTGGTATTAAGGTTCAAGTTTGCACAAATTCAGCCAGTGAGCTCAAGTTTACGTAAAATTATATCTATCTCTAATTAAAAGATTATGGACCTCTTTACATCAATTACCACCGAGCTATGCTCCCATCATTTTGTAGTTAATTTTAACATAATATGACAAATAAAAACTTAAATAAAACATTAGGGACAATTGAAAAAGTAGTCCAACGTTAGGGACCAAAACATATATTTAAAAAAATATTTTTAAATGCCACGTCACCTTATCCTTATTTAAACTCATACTCAGAACAAAGGCTTCTCAAAATCGCCCAATTATTGAACTTAAAAACCAAAGCAAACCCAATTAACATTCATCTTACTTTACCTGTCAAAAAAAAAAATCATCTTACTTAAATAAGTTGAATTACAAATTCCTTATCCCAACTCCCAAACTTGAAACATAAATTAGATTGGAACATAAAGAAACAGAGGTTAAATTTAGAGCCCCAATAAAAGAGGAAAAATCATACGTAAAGAACCGTTCAGGGCCCTTCCCATTAAACATATATTTACAAAACCTATCCACCACATCGGAGAATAAAATACACTGCCATGGGAAAAATTGAAACAAGCAGTTCCCAACAATGACCAGGAAAACTCTAAAAAGTGGACATTGGACATCCACCAATCACCATTACAAGTCCCCCAAAAAGATCACGCCACCATATTTTCTCTTCATGTGATCTAAATCTCCTAGCTTCACTCTCTAAATATGATGCCAAACCCAAAAAAGGCGAGGGGGTGGGGGGTTTTCTACTGAATTGTCGTTTCGCGAGCCTACTCCTGGTTGGTTACCTTGCTTTGAAGGCTTTCATCGTCCCTCGTGAAGATCTTCGGAGAAAATCGCTGTTCGGGATACATTGTCGTTGTCAAAAGCACTTAAACCAGAATAGGGGCCAGAAGAGAACATTGAAGAGGATCCATCCGACTCAAAAGTCGTGGACGACTGCCTAAGATTGGTTCTGTTGTTGGAGGATGGTATCATGGTGTCTTGGTATTCTGTAACACGCTGCACCATTTTAAGAGACTGTACCACTTCGCCCATGGTTGGACGTTGGCCAGCCTCAGGAGCGACGCAGGCTGCAGCAATCGTACACACCCGTACGAAATCTTCCTTCGGATACTTTCCTCCGAGCCGTGGATCAGCAAGTTCTTCCAACCGATCCTTATCTCTCAAAATCGGCCTTGCCTGAAAGGGACAAAACCAACACATCTTAGCTTCCACCAAAAGTACATATCACTAATTCTGAAAAGATAGAACCAGAAAGACACGTCTTGATCCATGAAAACGCACCCATGTGACCAGGTTCTCCTGTCCAGATGGTTGTGACATATCTACAGGCTTCCTTCCGGTGAGCAACTCAAGAAGAACAACTCCGTAGCTATAAACATCACTTTTAACAAGTAAATGACCAGTCATTGCATACTCGGGGGCGACATACCTGAAAAAGAAATCTATTCCTTCAAGATCCCAATTTAACATGTAAGAACTGACTTACTTTGAGATGAGGGAATGAGACAAACCCAAATGTGCCCATTACACGAGTAGAAAGGTAATTAGCTCTGCCTTCTGGAGCTTGTTTAGCAAGACCGAAGTCGGCAACTTTAGCATTAAAGTTGTTCTCGAGCAATATATTAGATGCCTTAAAGTCTCTATGGATAACACAAGGTTGGGAATCTTCATGAAGGTAAGCAAGTCCTCGAGCTGCATCCAATGCAATCTTCATTCTGGTGTCCCAGTCCAAAGGACAATTAACACCCAGAGGACCTGGGGGAAATAAACTAATCAATATATTGTAGTAAAAATCTAAACACAATGTAATTTGCCTTCTTTTAAAGGTTCTTATAAGACTAATACAAAGAGATGATGGATACCATGGAGCCAGGCCTCCAAGCTTCCATTTGGGACGAGTTCATAGCATAGCAAGTTTTGTGAAGAGTCGCGATTACTGTAGTAGCCCACAAGTTTCACGAGATTTCGGTGATGCAACCGGCTAAGCATCTCAACCTCAACCAGAAACTCCTTGTCGCCTTGTTGGCCTCCACTTGTAAGTCTCTTGATTGCTACAGGTGTGCCGTCACTTAAGACACCCTTAAAGACCCTGCCAAAACCACCCTCCCCCAGTATGCTCGCTGCTTCAAAGTTATTAGTTGCTTCTTTAAGCTCTTCATAAGTTAGAAATCTCATACTTGATGGATGAGGAAAAGATCCTACCGCAGGCATTTTGTCCTCAACCGTTGGTTTTTCTGAGAAGTGAGATGAATGGGTGAAGATACAGTTGACATAGAAGTAAAAAGAAATGATACCAACAAATATATAAACATGGAAACTGTAGAAACAATGATATCAAGAACTTGATACTTGCACTGTATGTAATTCAAAACCAAATGTACTAGTTTTCTGAGGGTAGAGGAGCAAAATTCTAACTAATAAAGTGTTGTCAAAACCACGCCACGACATAAGTTGTTTATCCTCACATTGTATGACCAAGGCTTCATAAGCACTTTAATTTTATCTCTTGTTTGGAAATTCCTATTACCTTATATCCATAAAATCTAATGGACAAAAAGGATTTTGTATTATGTTCCCTACTTCATCACAAAATGAGTAGCTTTACCTGCCACATGGTTCACAATGTGGTGACAGATATTTTTGAAAACTATGTACAAAATATACACAGGAAAAAGAAATTGAGGAAATTTTATACACGTACCAGCTACTAATGGAGGTGCTTTGGTCTTCCCCCGATGAGATGCGCATAAACAAACTATCAACACAAATAGAATGGCTATGAACAGAAAACCAGCACCGATACCAATAAGAAGTGTCAGATTAGAACGTTGTCCTTTACTGGGAGAACTCAGTGACGTTGTGGTTGGAAAATGATATTCTGGAGCTGCTACAGGTGATGCAGAAGCCCGAGGAGCTGTACAACAAATGAAAATCTAGTAACAACACAATAACCTAAAAAGCAACCATGCATAATCACGGTCACTACAGGCTTAACAGAGTAAAATAGCAATTGACAACAACATTTATATTCTCAAAGCAACAGCATCGCAAGAAGTGGGCAGCCCAAGTCCTCAAATATTGATAAATTACTAATGTATAGTCTTTGTAGACAACAATAGCCATAAGAGCTGTGGATGAATTTTATTTTGTCTGCGACTCAATCCAGCGTGCATGTTAAAATATATACTAATACTAGGTGACACAACAAATACATGTCTAGCTAGTCTCCCGGAAAACAGAATTCACAGTACCAATGCTCCATCTATAACATAGTTCACTGCAAATCGAACTCTATACAAGTTGCAAATCACCAAAGATAAAATGGGGTCTATAAAACCTAAAGCTACAGTAATAATGCCATTTTGAAGGTGATGCACTCTTAAATTATTGTTTGAAATATTGGATATACCTTGAGAACGAGGCGGAGGCTTAAACCAGGTAATATTGAGAAGACTGTAATCTCCCACCAGTGTCGGGTCTAAACGAATTTTATGCATTGTAAGTGAAGAGTTTATTGCAGATGCATCAACTGCAGAGAAGCTGATCCCAGCATGCGGAGTAATGTCCATTGAGATATTTAGCCTCGATAAACTAAGTACATAAAAGTTGATCAGCTCAATCTGAGAGACTCGTAAACCGAGTTCGGAAGCTAACTCTTCAAGAAAAAGTCTCCAATTAGGATTCTGTGATACATTCAGGAGGAGGAGGTCAATTTTTATGGGATAGACACAATGGCAGCCCTCACTTCCTCGTTTCAGCACCATGTCAGGTTTGCAACAGTCTGCAAGATGAGGAATAAAACCATGAATAGGACTCAAATAAGTTCACTTATCAACAAATAAAATTGATCAGGTACCTCAGTTTTTATTTAAAGACAACTGCATGAATTAAAATAACTAAAGGGAAGGAGAAAATCAAGGAATCCAGTATACAACTTACCTGATGCATTTGGAGAAAGTGGTGGCTGAGATAATCCAGAGGGAATAGCACCAGCACTGGACTGTATGGGAGCAATGTTTTCAAGCCTACTATCTGGAGGAGCCGATCCACTCTTCATCAATGGTTTTGAAAAGTTTGAACTGGTGGGTGGGTGACCAGAAGTGATGAGAGGCCCATAGTAAGGAGGAGACGATGGTGCTAGTCCAGCTACCGGTGCACTCTGTGGTGACATATATTTTCGGTGGTGGTGTTGATGGGCAAGAGGCAATTTGGCCGGTAGAGGAATATCGAGGATAGCAGGTGCAACCACATGTGCATCTCTTGGAGATGATGGTGATATGTCCGGTACATCGGCATTGGTGAAGATCACAAACCACAACAAAAGAAACTGCTTTGGAAACCAGCAAGAGACCTGTTTCAATATACCTGCATTATAACCTCCAAATCAAGGTTTCATACACTGAAAATGTGCATTGAGGTAGACAGTTTTGGATTTCCTTCAAAGTATGCTTGCTTAGGCTTCTAATGGGGCTTGGGAAAGTTATACCAAAGAAGGCAAAGCAGCTATCTGACGATACATACTAAATTTTCTTCGCTCCCCCAAAAGCATGTTTCAAACTTTCAAAGTAGCTCACAAATTCAATATCTCCGGAAACTGATTCAGAATCAGCATCCACACATCCACACCAAAATATTCCAACACTCAAAATCGGTGCACGGTGTTCATAACCGTCTCCGCCACTTTAATAGAATAAGATAAAAGATCACAGATTCACAACAATTTGTCAACCTCATACTACATTTCCTAACTTGAAAATAACAAAAAGGGATATCCAGAGACGAAAGAACTAACAAATATAAGCAAAGAAGGTGTCGGCAAAAGCTCGACATCCGAACACTAGCTCAAGAAATTGCGAAAGCCAAGGTCGCAAGAAAACCCAAAAAAATGACGACGAATCCATTTCACATCACCATTTTCCTAAATTCCAACTAAAGCATTTCTTGAACTCAGTTTTCTCAACGAGGCATAAGATTCAAAAATCACAATGAAGAAGCACTCAAACACCATCAATCAAACCTACTAACAACAACGAGAAAAAAAGACAAAATAAAAATACCCGCAGTGACGGAAGCCGCAAGCACCGACATCAGCCACCGCGTCGACAGCCACCGACGCGTCAGATCTGTGAGATTAGGGTCAACACATGGGAGAAATCATTCTCGAAATGAGCGCAGGGTATGCAAACCGGTTCGTTCGAACAACGAAGCAAAGAATGACCGGAGGACTGTACCATCACCGGGAAAAACGAGAATCTAGAAACAAAAACAGCATGAGAATCAATCAGTGAGTGAAATCGAAGGACGAAGAAGAACCGAAGGGAAGTTGTTGGTCTGAGAAATTGACTGAGAGTGATGAGAGAGATGTCGTTGGGTTCACTCCGTCCTCAGTGCAGGGGAAGCTTTTCGAGCTCTCTCTTTCTCTCTCTTCCCTTTTTTGGGGTTTTTTTTACAGAGAAATTGAGGGTTTTGATTTGTTTTGGTCGATGATGCGTGAGAAAGCAGAGAAGTAGAGAGAGATTTTGATCGTTTTTTTTTTTTTTGCCATCGAATTCTAACGTGCGCAGTTAACGGAAAAGGACAAATTAACGGTAAAAAGATGCTTGTGTCACTGGGATCTGTTTTTGTCCATCGCTCTTTAATCCTTTGTCGTTTGATATTTATTTATTCATTTAATATATTTCTAAGACGAGAAACAAAAAAACGAAAAACAGAAGACCAAGTTTTACTTCAAAGATGGGTAGGTTAATTAATGGTTGTTGGGGACAAAAAAAATATGACATACCATCCTTTACGAGCCACCTCATCGGCTCGAAAATATTCTAAACTCATCTCGGAAGAGCTCTTAAGCCCATCTAAAAAGAGCTGTAGAACTCTTGAGCTGGAAAATATCAAGCCCATCTAAAAATAGCTTTTAAGATATCCTAAGTTCATCTAAGGAAGAGCTCTCAAGATCATTTAAGAAGAGCTCTCAAGCTCATCTACGACCGAACTCCAAGCTCATCTTGGAAAGCTCATTTATAGAAGAGCTCCTAAGCTCATATAGGAAGAACCTGTAAGCTCATTCACGACTGAACTCTTAAGGGACAAACTTTGACGTCATGCAGTTCCATCAATAGTTCAATATTGGAAGGCAAACTATCGCAGGTAGAGCTGTTCTCCAACTATCATAGGTTGACCTCATAGGTCGGGCCTGGTTACTTAGATGTTGAGAATCTTCCAAGTATCATGCTCCAATACCCCGATGGGATGGGTAACTACTCCTCAAACCCCTATAAATATACCTTCACTCCAGTCACTGGGTATGCAATTTTCTATCTGAAGATGATCTACCAAGCTCAAACTCATACCAACTTGAGCGTCGGAGTGTTGTACCTGTTTTTGCAGGTCTCCTTTCTCCAGCTTGCTTCGCGTCAGCTTGGTCGAGAGGTCTTCCCACTCTAGCTAGCCACACTTCAGTTGGCTAGCGAGACCTTCCCTACCCAGTTTGCTCTGCAAAAACTGGTTATGGCCCAGTACAGGTAATTCCATGACACTTCGACAGATTTTTACATCCACAATGGTCAAACCAGAAACAAGATTTAAAAATAATTTTTATAGTTTTCAAAATTTAGCTTCAATTTTGAAAACATAAAAAAAATAATAACAAAACAAAGATAAATCTATTGAGGTAAGAATTTGGATCCCATCTCTAAGTTGGTAGCTACAATAAAATAAAATAAAAATTCACTAAGTTCAACACACTCTAGTGTTAGTGTTTAAGTTGGCAAAAAGTTAGTCGAATAATAGAGAAAGTAGAGTTGTAAGAGCATACATCTAAATTTCTCATCTTTTTTATAGAGGGAATCTCTTTAGTTTGATCAGAGTGGATCCATTTAGTCGAAGTATGGTTTCGTCGGGTGGTTTGACCCGAACTGTTTGACTCAATTAGCTTGACCCATGTCGCTTTCCAGCTCCAATTATTTTTCTGATGGGATAATATTACTCTTATTAGTAGTGTTTATAGAAAAAAAAAAACTAAATAGTTATCAAAGAGAGAATTTGATTTTAGTTTTAGCTTAGGACTAACTCGTGTGTTTTCTAAATTGATACTAAATAGTAAATATTAGTAGAGATATAATTAATATAAAGGATGACTTAATTAAATTATAAGTTTGAGGGATAATTGCACAAAATGAAAGTTTGAGGGGTAATTTTTTTTTTAAATAAATGGATGAATAAGTATTTTTATTTTTTGTATAGGTTTAAATACTTGTCTAGACTTTTAATTTTTGTTCATTTTAGTTTATTTACTTTCAACTTTTATTCATTTTAGTCTTTCTACTCTCAAAACATCTGTTTTGATTCTTGTATTTTTAAGAAGTGATTATTTTGATTCTTATCTACAAAACACAAATTTTATACACAATGAAAACTCTTTAATACAAAATAATGGTTACATCCCAAAAAAATTAATGTGTAGAGTATCATACTAAAATTTTGATCGAAATAAATAAGGCAAAAAAAAAAAGAATTGCCAAAACGATCCCTTTTTAAAAATACAAAGATGAAAACAAAAATTTCAAACATATAGACTACAATAGACAAAAGTTGAAAGTATATAAACCAAAATGATTCTTTTGAAAGTATATAAACTAAAATGAATCAAAATTGGGAGTATAGAGACTAAAATAGTATTTAAACCTTCGGTACGTGATATTTCTAATTTATTTTACTATATATTAAAATTAATAATGCATTTATCAATTTATATTAAATAATTTTTGTAAGTACTAAATCAAATTAAAGAACTCTAACCCTACATATTTTTCAAAACAGATATAGTGACAAAATTAAATAAACTATATATTTTTAATTATAAAGCAACTTCAGAACATCCGAGATTAGAAAATGGAGAATTGATGGAGGAAGAAAATAACACTAGGTGGGGTAGAAAAAAAGTAGGAGAGAGTTTTTATATAGCTGTAAAAGTCGAAAAATTTCAAGTCATAAATTTTATAATTAATTTTTAGAAATAAATTGAAAAAAGTTTTTATATTCAATCTTTTCCTATTTTAACATTTAACAATTCAGATAATTGTTGTAATTATAAAATTTTTAATTAAATTTAATTTTATAGATTAGTAAACCATGAAAACCGGTCGTGTATATCAAAATAAACTAACTTAAATTAAAATATGTCATTAAAAATTTAAGTACAAAATATAGGTCCATCACACTTGAAAATTTCAATAATCGCTTTTACGGAATAACTTAAGTGATATTTTTAAATATATTAAAGGTAAATTTTATATTTATTTAATTAAAACCCCATAATAATAAATTAATAAAGAAAACTAATTATAAACAATCAAACTGATTATAAATATTTTGTTTTTTTTTTTGTAATAAAAGAGAGGGAACATGGGGAGAGAAAAGTTTCTCTCATATAACCATTTTAATATATTGTATAAATATAAATATAGATATTTTGCTAAAAAAAAAATACATATAGATATAGAAGTAAATTTTGCTTGCCTGAATTGAAGCATCTCAAATAACGGACCGTTGATGGAGGTTATTGCACCAACATGATGTGAGTAAGTCCACATTATCATTAAATATACTCCTTGTCACTTTGAGATACCTACAAACCTGAGAAAAACAAGACAAACATTTTAGAAACAAATATTACCCTACCTTGAAATATTAAAAAGAAGATAAACATGAAGAAGTCATTGTACAATTTAAATAGTATATATTAAAGTATTTAATGTTTTTTACTTTTACTAGATAAAAACATCTTACTCTTAAAAAAATTAATAAAAAATAAAAACATTTTACTTTAGTAATATGTTTTTTACTTTTATTTTACTTTATTAATGTTATTTATTTGTAGTGTTAGTACATTTTATCTTTATGTCAACAGAGCATATTCGAAATAGATAAGAAGTCAGTTTAGAGTCCTGTCATGTCAGTTGATCCTTATCTTATCTGCTACTTTTTCAATTATTATCTTGAATAAGTGACTTTACGAGAAGTCCACGAACTCTATAAATATTCACATAACTTTGCATAAAAACTATATCTCAATTTTCATTGTTAATTTTTTATCGTTTATTTAGGCATGTGTGCTATGTTCATTTATTTGATACTATATCTAACTAACCCATTTTAATTACTAGTAGAAGGGTTGAATGTGAATTTTGAAGGTATAATTTGTAGTTAATTTTTTTCCTTCTATTATTATCATTGTTATTATTTTCCCACATGATAGATTAATAAAAATTTGACTATAGTTTTGTTTACGCCTATATTATCCTCTTATCATTTGAAATCATGATAATGCAATTTATTATTCCTTCCTCGACACATTCTTTTAGACATGGTAATAGAGAAATGATGAGTTATAGAACTTCGTATAAAGAACACATGTCAAGGGTAAAAATATAAAATGGCTACTTGTAGTAGTTTGATTCTAGAGTTTGAATTGTTTTTAAAAGATAATGATAAGTTCGTTAAATTAGTTAGAAACTCTGAGATACTATCGACATCGATTGAACATTTTAGTTATCTAAATTAATATTCATAAATTCTCTATATTGAATGTCTAACTTATCACCACATCTTAGAAAAATGTATGTAAAGAAAATTGTTCACACATGCACATGACAACTAAAAAATAGTAAGACGTCTTAACCGTTCAACTATGCACATGTTGCTAAAATATATTCAAATATTTGATATTTAGGTATTTGTTCATGTTATTTTCTATTAAAAAAATCAATTAGTTACCTTCTATTTAAACATTTTTTAATTAAGAAAAATTTCCAATTCTTCCTCCAAGTTTATAAGAAGTTTGGTAGAAATTTCGATCTTCTTTTACTGAATTTCTATTGACTAAGTATTATGTCAGTAAGTTTATCTAAAATTAATCCAAGTGAATAATAAGATTGAAAAATTTTAAATACTAAACTAAAATTTAAAAAAAAAATCTCAAGCACTAACCACTAAAATATATATTTGGCGAATAATAATTTATTAAAAATTTATCCTATATTTTTATTTTTTTGATTTTTAAGAATGCGATGGGTGGCGGGAGAACGGGCGTTGGCGAAGGGTTCTATTAGTCAAATAATGGAAGTGGCCTTCATTAGCGGTTGATTTTTGTTAGGTCTTCGCAACCCCATTGCCCATCATTTTCATTTACACTTTTTTCAAAATATATGTGTATATATAATTTAAACATTTATTATTATTTTTATCGGACATGAGAAGATTTGAATTTTCTCATGTCCGATAAAAATAATAATAAATGAAAATGATGGTTATGTTATTTTTTTATTAAGTCAACTAACACTGATCATTTAGAATAAATTTTTAAATTTTAAAGACTAAAAGTGTTTATTTTGAAACTATAATATCAAATAGACATCTATTCCAAACCACGGAGACCAAAAATGTACTCTAAACTAAATGTATTTTTCCGTAAGAAGGTTGA